TGAATGAACAATTGGGACTATTCCTTGTTAAATGGTGTTTGTGAAATCAATTTTGCATAACCCTTTTTCAAAGATTTTAGCTCATCCATCCATTTTAACAAATTATTTATATATACAGCAGCACGGTGGCACAACTGGTAGAGCTGCTGCCTCTCAGCGAGCAGGTCCCTGGTTCAAATCCCGGTCCAGGGGCCTTTCTGGGTGGAGTTTGCATGTTCTCTCCGTGCATGCGTGGGTTTTCTCCGGGTACTCCGGTTTCCTCCCACAGACCAAAAACATGCATGTTAGGCTGATTGGTAACTGAATTGTCCCTAGGTGAGAGTGAGAGTGAATGGTTGTTTGTCTCGTTTGTCTCTATGTGGCCCTGTGATGGACTTGCGACCTGTCCAGAGTGTACCCCGCCCCTCGCACATTGATTGCTGGACATGGGCATCGGCGACCCCCGTGACCCAAAATGGATAAGCGGGTAAAGATAATGGATGGATGGATATATAATTTTATTTTATTTATTATTTATTTTTTTTTTGTTAATCAGCAAAGGTTGCGTTTGCTACTTTGTCTATTTATCTCCAGTTCACAAAGCGTTTGCGTGACGAGACGGTCAAGCCTAATTTGTGCAAAAAGCAGCAGGCCGCGGGGGACATTTTTTACACTGCAGGTAAGATATTTATTGTTCAGTTCTTCACAGACCCCAATTGAAAAACATTTGAACTGTCTCCTTCAACACAGTGCAATGTTTCTATAAATGTAAATTTGATAGATAAATAAATAAATAACTAAATAATAGTGCTCAAAGTAAAAAATAACCGATAAAAAAGAAGAGGGGCCTAAAGCATGAAACAAAAGCATTTATCATGAACTAAAACATGACAACAACCACAGAGGAATGCAAAATAACTGAAACCATGTCGCGACACAGATTGTGGTTTACGGTTTCTTTCTCAGTTTTAGTCCTTTTGTACTAATCCTTCTATTTGCTTAATTTTACATTGATTGACGGACAGCTGTGAACCATAGACTCCCCCACCCCCGCCATGCCTCCACCCTTAACCAAATGCTGAGACATAAACATGATGTGATGCGTTTGCAGCAGTTGTAGCACAGATGCCCACCCCAGTGACAAAGTGTCTGTCTCTTCTGTCCATTTCCCCCCACCCCCACCTTACACACACCACACACTGTGTGGTAAATGCTTAATGGCAACAAAGGCTGTAACAGTTGTATTCTCTGACATTCACATCCTCTGTCACCATTTACAGCAGGATCATTTCTGCAGCCTGATGTCAAACAAATATGCAAAAATTAAATATTTAAACACTTTTTAATTATGGAAATCTGCAACCTGCTGCGAGGTCCTGAGAAAACGTATTGTCTTTTAAATTGTCTAATGTCTTTCAATAACAACAAATGAATTGTTGAGTGAAATAAAACACAATGAATGCATGTTTTTATTTGGAATAATTAAAACCTTATGTGACAAAAAAAGACTGTATATTACAAGTTTATGGCAATTTTACTGGAATATCAGAAAGGTTGTCATACACCAATATCATGTTTCCAGACTCATATAGACCTGATTTTAAAGAAAATGAATGCCTTTTTATAATCTAACAATACAATTGTTTTTATTCATAGAATACAGTTTTAAAACAGTAATTTTAATTAACTTCAGTAACAAAAAAGCTATTTCTCCAGCTGACAGAAATGAACTCTTTTACTTCAGTTGCAAACAAAGATGAATTCAATTAACAATAAAATGTGTTGCAAAGTTTTTAAGATCAGAACATTTTTTTTGTTAGTTCAGTTAAAGCATTAGCCATCAGGCTGTCGTTCTATGAACGAAAATAAAATAAGTTGTGCAATTTTACACAAAATAAAACATTAAAAAAAAAAAAAAAAAAAAGTTCTCTGTTCTTCATCCCAGAAACGAACTGGTGCAGTTTTCTCAGGAGGGTTTTAAAGTGAAAGTCTTGTTCCAGTCAGTTTGTTGTGATTTTTGGTCCAGAGCTCTTCAAGCCTCAATAAGATGCAGAAAAAAAACAAAAACAGCATAAGGCGTTTAAGAACGAAGCAAGGGGATTACTTTTTTTTTTTTTACATTCTAAAAAGCATACACAATTATCCAAATAAAAATAATAAAAACTGAATTTGACTTGACTGCTGCTCACTTGCTCTGAGTCCTCATCCTCCAACACTAACGAGTCCTTGTTCGTGTTCTTGTGATGATGATGATGCTCCGTGGATGCTTATTTCCTCTCAGGGTGACTCCAACACTTTGTATGAAAAGCACTTTCGCCCTCGGTGGTCTCCGTTTTAACCCCTTCTTGACCATTAATCTTTACACTAGCATGCCCTGCAAAAAGCAATCTAACAGAGTCATCACATTCATGTTGTTTCTGGTTAGAATATCCTGAGGAGAGAAGTTTAAAGGCTCTTGTTCCCATTAATAGTTGCTCTTCAGTTCTTCTTCATATGTAAATATTGGGCTACACTTAGGGGGCGTGGCCTCAACGGCTTTTGGCCAATCAGATGCGCAAACTGAGCTCCGCTGCTTGCTTTAAGAACCGTTTCTTTGTTTTATAAGACTGTGTTTAATTTTAAAAAAAAATCCTATTGGTAAATAAAACAAAATATTCAATTAAAGCATGATATAAAAAAGTGCTTGACTGCAAATTTAGCTAAATCAGTTCAATAGCATCCTCCATTTAAAGTGGTTTTATTCTTTGCACAGCAGCTTTAAGCAAAGGAAGTAAGGTGCAATTTCCAAATGAGGTGAAACCTTTTTTTTTTATTCTTGTTTCTGCCAAATCTGCGGCAGAATCTTTTTGCTCCATTAGACATTCTGATTTGTATTATTTCCTCCTTGAATTTCCTCTTTATTTCCTCCTCTTTGTAAATAACATTTTTTATTAAATTTGAGAATGATTTCTTGAGGAAAAGTATGTCAGATTTTTGTCTTTACCAATTTTTCATGAAAAGGTCTGCACGTTTTGCCAACGTTGAATAATAATAAAATTGAGTATAGCTATTTTTGAGCACTCAAGTGTTCAGTAAATGACTTGCTCAGTGCAGAACCTGAATCGGATTGAAGCTACAAAGAACAAGAGCCCAGCAGGGTTAAAATGGCCGCCACGAATTCACTGAGATGATTTGCAGCCTTTTTGCAGCACAATCCAAGCTGCTTCTTATTGTGAAATATTACATAAACGCTCCTATTTGATGGCTTCTCACTGCGTGTTCGCTTCACTGGATGAAAGTTTTTAAGAGATCAGGGTGACTGTGAACCTGCGCAGATTTAAAGCATCACATCATGTCTCTGACAAGAGTTTCACTTGCCATGCGCTCCCAAATCCCCCCAAAATCTATCACATTAGAAATTATGAAAATGTTATCCCATTTTTTTTACCCCCATCCTCCCCTCCACCTCCACCAGCGTTCAGGATTGGCCCGTGCTCGCGGTTAGAAATGTGTTTCTTGGATTTGGAATGCAAATGCTTTGTTCAGGAGGAGGAGGGAATCAGCGAGGAGCCTGAAAGCGACGAGTTTTTGATTAATGAGCTTTGAAATGGCTCTCCAGGAGCAATAAAGGATGAACTGCTCTCTCTCTCTCCCCTTCGCTCTCTCTCCCTTTTCTTTTCTTCCTCTTTCTCTCGCGCTCACACATGCACCGCCTCAATGTCATAGCAGCACCGCGCATTTTCTTCTTTTGATTTTTATTGGCACCAATCTGCTTTGTCTTTTATTTTGAAAGGCCGCGCCTCGCTAATCAATGAGACGGTCGGTGATTATAGACTCCCGGCTTTACAGGAAAGATTGGGCCTATTTTATTCTTGCATGCCCGTGCACGGGTGGAGGGGGAGGTAATTGTGGCCGAGTTCTTAAAATATGATAAGTGACATGTGGAGGATGCAATAAGCCCACAGACTCACTTCCCCTCATACCAATAAAACATCAGCAACCCCGAGAGGCTTTTATTTCTCTAAAATGCACTTTGCATTGGAGGCGCAGAGCGTTCTGATGAGCTTCAGATCTCCTGGTGTCTAATTATTGATCGCGTGCGTCTGTTTGGGTCATACAGGAAAATGATGGGAGTCAATTCTCCTGCACAAAACCATCACAAAATGCAACAAAAACATACAAGTTTAAGCACTTTATTTACAAAATGTTAAACACAATAAAATATAACATTTCAATAGCATCATTAATTTGTGAAAACTGAATATAACAACAATGGAAGACAAATAATCATAATAATTATAATGAACGGACTAGCACAACGAAATGACATGCTGGTGTGTTTAATATTTGATTCTTTGATAGTTTGTCTTCAGGTCTGACACCAGATTAACCCAGGACACACATAGGCTATAAAATGTCCCATTTGGATCAGATTTACAATCCGAAATGCTCCTTTTTGTTCCCTCCCTTCCAATAATTGCAGCATTTCTAAACCCTGTTTTCCATCAAGTGCTCTGCAATCCACCTTAATGCAACAAAACCCTCTTATAAATACTCGCATACGTAAATGATAAATAATGTGCAATACAAAAGCAAAATAAAATAAAATTAATAAATATGGTATAGTGCCAGAGATTATGCACAATTCAATAAATAAGGGGTGAGGAAAAAATGAAACAGACCAAAAAAAAAAAAAAAAAAACCTAAAAAGTTCTCTTCTCTAAAGATGAGCTTCTACGTTTGTGATCTACAAGACTTACCTTCAGGTCAGCTGAAATAGTCAAACATTGCGCATTGCACTTTAGAGTAAACAACAAACAAACAAACAAAACAAAATAAAACTATCAACAACCAGACTATCGTGCCTCTGCGCTTTCTCTGGATATTTAAAGAGAAAATGGACAAAGTTGCGTTATTTAGAAAATAATTACACAATAGCATTAATAGTAATATCAATAATACTGTAATAATACACACGACTCGCTTGGAGTGGAGTTAATAGACTAGTGAGGTAATAAAAAAAGAGCGCAACGTCATTTTGGCACACACACACAGGCACGCACACACACACACACACGCTCACGAGGAACGAGATTACAAATGCGTGAGTTTAGGCGCTTCCTGAATCCTTCCCTGAGAAACTTGGTGAGAGGTGAGGTCTGTGTATGTGGGGTGGGGGTCGCACGGTCCGTGGTGGTGGTTTCCTGGGATCTGAGCGGCACAGCTGTAGTCCACGCTGGTGGATGAGGGGTGGGGAAGGTGGCCGAGGTTGAACATGGGGCCCGAGGCTGGCATGGAATCAACAAAGTTCCCACCCACGTAAACAGGGCTGCCTTGCAAATTGGCGTTGGCAAAGCCTCCGTTGCTCTGCATGCCGTGGTGTTCGTACTCGGAGCCCGGGTAGCGCTTCTGTTGAGGGATGCAGCCGCCCAGCGGCGCCGTGTACGCGGCCAGGCCGTACATGTTCTGCTGGGGTTTGGCGAATGGCGGGGGCGAGGGCGCGTCGTAGCTCAGGCTGTTCACGTTTTGGAGCTGGCCCGCGTATCCGGTGTGGTTTGGGCCACTCAGCGGCGGGCTCCTGTCCGGAGAGTGTCCCATGGGGGAGTGCGCCAGCCCTTTGGACTTCTGGTCCTTTTTGTATTTCATCCTCCTGTTCTGAAACCAGATCTTGATCTGGCGCTCGGTGAGGTTCAACAGATTGGCCATCTCCACCCTCCGAGGGCGACAAAGGTAGCGGTTAAAGTGAAACTCCTTCTCCAGCTCCACGAGCTGCGCGCTGGTGTACGCAGTTCTGACCCGTTTGGAGGCTGGTCCCGGTGGGCTTTTCTCATCACTCACCTCCCCGCCTGTGAAATGTAATGAATGAAAAAATAAATAAATAGCATCATCTTTTGAGCATTATGAGTTCAGCAGCACCTCAAGGCCCATGCAGTCACACATCTCTCTCTGCCGACCCCCCCCCCCCCACACACACACACACACACACACAGCACCATCCCTACCTGCAGCAGCACAGTTGTTGCTCTTCTGCTTGGAGTTCTGCCGGGTCTCCTTCATCCAGGGGAAGATCTGCTTGGTGAGGGCCGGGTTGGCAGCACCGGAGGCGCTGCTGGAAGGAGACTTCTTCTTCTGGGACGCAGAGCTGTTCGAGCTTGGGGAGGACGCAGACAGCGGGGGCGCCTGCTGCTCTGAAATGCTGTTCACCTGGCTGCTGCTGCTGCTGCTGCTGCTGCTGCTGCTGCTGTTGTTGTTACTCTGACCGCTGCTTTGCCGCATGCAGTCTCCATTCAGGTCACTGTCTTTGAGGGCGGGTGGCCGGACCGCAGAGGTCTGGATGGGGCACACCGAGCCCTGGTAGTCACTGTCAATGTTCGGGTAGGACTGGTGTGCTGGGCCGTAGTTATAAGAGTCTGGTTTTGAGTAAGTGTAGCCTCCAAACAGTCCAGAGTTGTCGTAGTAGGTTGCTTTCTGCATTTTCCCCTGTGGATTTAAAGCCAGTAAGACGCAGCAGGTCTCGCCAATGGCATGGGTGTTGATGGTTATTCACGTGACTGGTATTTCCCACAGCTGCTCCAGTCTGTGAGCTATGAAAACAGAAACATGTCACTCATTACAGCTGCAGACATCACATCCTTGGTTATTGCTGATAAGTGCTTGAGAGTCAGGGTTGAACACAGAGAGCCTCCACACTTGGCCCCTCAAAGATGTAAGGATGATGTAAGTCGTTGAGGTTTTATCACAAACATCAACTTTTCATCACGCAGCATTAAAGTCGAGACTTAGTTTAGAGCCACTGCAGCTACAAAGGAGTTAAAGTTTAACTTTTGCTCAAAGAAGGACCCTCTGGGAGGCTTTAGTGGTCTGACACAAATAAGCTGAATCAGCATTTCTCTCGCTCTCTCTCTCACTCTCTCTCTCTCTCTCTCACCCCCCCCCACCCCCCCACACACACACACACACACACAATACCCTTTTCAGTAGTCACAGGCCTCACAAAGCCCACCGTGCAGTGATTGTTCCCGCGCACAGGCACTTGGTTCCATGTTTTACGCGCGCAAGAAGCTGCGTTTCTGCTCATTTAGACATAAGAAGAACATGTGCGCGAGTTAAATACTTCGTTGGCCTCCTTCTAGGACATTCTCATCCTTTAGATTTCTGATTGAGCGCGTGTCTTCCTGCGTTCTCGCGTTGTGCAAAATGCCCCCACCCCCACCCCCAAGAAGACAATAATCCGATAAAATAAAAAAGAAAAAAAAGAAACGGATGATCAGATGTATTGGTGAGAACTTTGTAACTAATCTGAAACAAAAAAATACCAAAGCCCCCTGTAACTGTATGCTGGTGGCTTTAGGAGATGCAGCCCGCGCCGTGCATGACAATTGCACCTGTCAGTGTGGACCGCGGGCAAAATTTATGAGCGCAAATGTTCTGGTTGTAAACGGCCTCAGAGAGGAATGAAAAGCAAAACACTCCTCAACACCCCCAGAAGCCGTGAGAGGTGTAAAACCATGAGCGTAGGAGGAAGGCAAGGGGCAAGAATTTCATACTTGGCGACTTGTGGGTTTATAAATGAAGCCTCCATCCTGGCTGAGCGCGAGTCTGCAGCTCGACGGACACCGAGCTCACGTCGCTTTGACGCATCTTGTTCTTGTGGATACAATTAGGACATTTCCCCAAAATTTCCTCCTTATTTTTTTATTTATGCCGAAGACTGCAAACATGATGGATTATTCCTCCTCTTTGACAAAAAAGGGTCGTACTCAATGGATTTAATTCAAGCGAAGCTGAAGAAAAAAAGGGGGGGGGGGGGGGGAGTATTGAAACTGGACTCTGGCCCTGCGTAAATAATTACGCGCACTGGGAAAGTTGGGGCCATTCTTCATGCCACTTCTCGTGATTTAAGCCTCCTGTGAAACTGGGAGTGTAAATATGCAGCCTAATAACGGATCGCCCCTCTCGCCTTGTTAGTACTCGTTTTTTATTTTTATTTTTTTTCATTCATTTTCTTTTATTAAAGAAGTTTTACTCACCGAAATCTGCGCAGATCTTTTGTATATTCCTCACGCATTCATCACTGCCTCCATCTCGACCTGGAATACAAATACCAATAAATAAAACGTCTTCTCATTGGCTGTTTATTTTTATTTTTCCCCTCCCCAACCTCTGATTCGGAGCAAAATTGGATAAAAAGAGCCACATTGCTGTCCTTATTTAATTTATGCTCAGAGAAGCGGAAATAAAAAAAAACGTTCCCATGATAATCAATTTTTAAAAATATATATCTAAATGAAAGTAATCATTGTCAGCAACGACCACCTGATTTTTCTTTTCTTTGTTGAAGATGTTGCCTTCAGTTGCTTGCGAATGAATGAAAAGTCCTACATGTGCACTTTCACACAAAGAGGCCGAATATCTAGCAGCCATAAGCTGTTTTCAGGTGACCTTTGGGTCAGTTTGCATTAAGACCAAGTTTAATGAACAACGAGCATTTTCTTTTTTCCAGCTTCAAATAAAAGTCTCGAGCAAAATCACATCAGTCTCAGAGCAGAGGTGCGAGCAGGCGGCAAGCGAACCAGAATTAAACCTTGTCTTTTTCCTGTCTTTTTTTTTTTCCACTTTTGAGGATATTTGATTTTAAAACACGAGCTTTGTTTTTATATGTGTGTGGAATATTTGGAGATAATCTGCGCCTCCAGTTGCTGTTGAGCGCACTGAGCAGACAAGCTTCTCTTTTCACACCGCTGTGTATTTCGCCTACGCGCTGTCACGGTAAGTTTGGTGCACACAAAGGCTCGGGACTCAAAGTGGAGTGTTATTCTCCCACGGAGTCGCTCCTCCAACACGAGTTCAAACCTTCACACTCTGCTCGTGCTTCACATTAAACAGCTCGTGATGGTAAAGCTGAAATTAGACACGTTGCACTTGGGGAAAAAAAAAAAAAAAACAACACGCAAAAAGCAAATATAAATATAGCTGTTGCAATGTCTGTTTGTGCAAAATGCAGCACAAATGCTAAAATACATTTTTGTTTTTGAGCTTTAAGGCTATTTTAAAAGCATCCTCAGAAATAAAACAATAAAATAAAAGTGGCCACCAACGAGATGACATATAATAATTTCAAACCGGATGTGCGCTCTAAAAAAGAGAAAGAAAATAAAGCATTACCTTTAGTGAATAATAATAATAATAATAATAATAACATTTTAAAATAAATAAAATGGAGCCTTTTGATTTAATATTCCTCATACTTTAGTCTGGTAATTCTTTAAATCACCCAGTATGACACTGTGTGTGTTTAATATAACGTTGCGGGCTAACGAAGCCATATTGTAGAAACCACATAAATCACAGGAAACGCCAGTGTGACGATAAGACAACAAATTAATGTGATTTACGATCCAGGAGTCAAAAAAAGAGAAAAGTGTCTCTCCTTCTTCCCCCTCTGAGCCGGTTTCCATAAAAAAAGGAGAAAAAACAGCTGAAAAGCTCATTCTGTCGATAATATTAGAATGGATAAGAGTTTATATGAATCTGCAGCTCCATATCCACCACATTCACGCGCGTAGCCTCCTCGGATGAGATGGAGCCTAATATATTTCATTGCATTGTATTAACCCGTGGTTAAAGGTTGCTTTGTGCCATGCAGTTGCTTACCTGTGCATCAATTCATCATAACGCGCTCCTTCCTCTCACTTCCCTTCTGCAGCCTCTATATAAGAATAAATCCTTCGCCTCTTTGTCTGTGGACAGTGCTGTCCTAAACCTGATCTTGCTCTTTTTCAGACATTTCCATACACCAGTGGAGACAGAATTCCCGAAAGAATGGAAGGACTCGCGTTCAGCTACCAATAAAAAGAGAACAAGGTATCCTTATTCCAGAGGAGAAGAAGAAGAAGAAGAAGAAGAAAAAAAATCACTGGCAATCAATCAAGCACTGGAATACAGAGGCCTGCATTTGCAGCCATTGCATTAGGATTTTTTTGGGGAGGGTGATTCGGAAGCGTTACGATGACAAATCAAGGCACTGCCTTTAGATAGAAGCATATTTGTTCACGTGATTGTTCTCTTCTTCAGCCTCACCGGTCCATTTTGATAAAGGGTGGCGTTTATGTCCTCTCCGAGCTCTGTGTGATTGTGGAAATGTTCCCCACGCCTGCTTCCTTCCTCAGGATTTCTGCTCGCCTCCTCTTCAGAATTTACGCGCACGCTCCTTATTTATAGGAGACGTTAATAAAGCACATTTACGCGTGTTTAGCTTCCATCATTGCAGCATCTTTACGCAATGCATGCGTATAAAACCATTTGCCATTTTCACGCTATAGCAGGCTCTTTTCTCATTTAATTTGGTGAATGTAGGTAAACAAAAACAAGCAGGAATTTCCACAATATAACGAATAAACGGAGGCTTTTACGCACCATTTCCACGTGCGTTTTTAAGCATGCTGAAAACTGGACTGTCTCCTTTGTGTCGTTTAAAAATGATTTATGGAATAAATGACGTGTGAGCTTTTCTTGCAGCAGGGCATGGATTGTATTCAAATAAAGCACATTATCACCCTGCGTTTGTTTTGTGTCTGCCTGCACACCCTGCTGTATAACACAAAGAGACACAGAGCCATGGCTGCTATTGTTTTCTGCATCAATCACAGACTTCATCAAATAATGGCAACGTTTAAAAGCAATGAATCCTTTAAAAAAAAAGGGATGTGCCAAAAGAACGAGGTTGCATTTTGCAAATATTTCTTTCTTTCTTTTTTCTTTTCTTTTCTTTTTTCATGTTTGGTGGATCCACAGGAAGAGACCGTCGGCTGCTTCAGTGCTTGGGGGTTTATCTTTGCTGAGAACAAGCCCAGAAAGGGATGCACGACTGGTAGCGCCGCGGCATATGTTCAGAGGGGTAATAAAAGTGAAAGATTTACAGTTTTCGCCGGCCCCCCAACAGCCTCGCACCCTTTAAGGAATTACTGAGAGTGATTTACAAGGAGGCAGAACTGTCAGGCTGCCCAAACTTCCACCACTTCTAAGAAATCAAAATCAAATCATCCCTCTCCCCCTCTCACTCTCTCTCACTCTCTCTCTATAGAAATAAGGGGAAAACGCATGAAAAATAAGCCTCGTGAGCAGTTAGTAATTTAATCAGAGCTGGTTCCTTTTTATTTTCCGATTTAAACGTTTCGTTTTATTTGCTGTTTTTAATAAAACGCCTCATTTGTTTTTGTTGTTTTTTGCTGCACAATTATTAAAAACTCCTAGTTGGATTATAAATATATAAAAGGATTAAATTAGCCCACTTGGGAGGACCAAACGAAGCTCTCCACAGCAAGCATCCATTAATATATTTCAGTGCCATCACTATCACACCCATCGATTCATTCATATATTCGTATATGCGTAAAAGTGCGCATTTCTATCCGTGTAAAGTCGGAGAAAAGACATGCGTACTGCGGCTTACACAACCCTCAGAGCGCTCACACCACACGGAGCAATTCATCAAATATCACGACACATGATATCGTCATTTACCAGCTCGGGCAACATGAAAAATGCTGAAATATTTACCTACCCGAGCATCCATCGGTTCAGACGTGCAGCGTTACAGTCGCGCCGAGAATCGGATATTATTTTCTTGGGGGGGGGGGGATCTCTTCAGTTTTCAACTCTGATAGAGTCCTTGCGATTAATGACGACGCGGTGTTTCTAGGGGGACGTGCTGCATTAATTATTTAGACAATCACGTGGTCGGGCACAGAGAGCCGAGTGGTATAGTCTCTGGATTATATCTCTGAATGCAGACAGCGCACTTTAATATGTCTTATAAGAAGGAGGGGGGGTTGGTTGGCTGGTTGGTTGGTTGTCTGGCTCGGAGAGGCTTCTGCTGGAAAACAGCTGGAAATCAAATATGGCCGGATGGAGAGCAGAGCGACGTTGTATTCCTGCACCGGGTGCGGTGTCATTGAGAATGGCACTGCCTTTGGCTCCCATTTATTGCAGCTCAGACATGTAGGTCAGTGTGGCTGTGTGCTGAGCTGCTCTGACCTGATAACAGAGAATACAGCCTTCATTTCAAGTCAGACTTTTTTAAAATTTATCCCAGAGCACCGGTGCTTATGTGAGCTGATTCCACTATAAACAGGAAACATAAAAAAATAAAAAAAAAACACAAGGATTTGCGCACAGAAGCAACAATTTATTAACTTTAAAAAGACTAGTGATGCATATTAGTTGAACCCCCCTCCCCCTCCCCCCTCACCCTGGGCTCGTTTTGTTGCATCTTTGTGCAGATCATGTTTGGCAGGATGGTGGATTGGAAGCATCATTTTGTTTCTGCCTCCGTCTGAATCTAGATGACAAGTGCTCATATTTCACACATCTCCTGCAATCAGAAATGCGCGAGCACGCGCGGTAAATCCGCGTGCGTGCTCAGTGGCGGAGAGGCAGCCGTCCTGAGGGATGAACACTGCAGATTGTCTTTCCACATGTCTGCTTGTGTCCCTCTTTGTTTGGATCAGGCTTGGTTCTGTGGTGTGGAGAGGTCGAAGGTCAGTGTTGCTGTGAGTCTTCCTCAATCAAAGCCCCAGCTTGAGGAAGGATTTGGTATTAACTTTAGTCTGAGTACTCTGTACTACAATCTGAGGTGGTGTTAAGCTCGATATCAAATTGTTGCATTTTATCAGGTGCACGAGCCATTTTCTGGTTCTGTTGAAGCACCATCGTCCCTAAAAAGTTATTTTTTTTTTGTTTGTGTTTGCCTTTTACAAGCAAAAAAACTAAAATTAACTGTTGATTTTCAATGTAATATATCTGGGAGGAAAGTTGTTTGTAAGTTTATGTTAATGTGGGAAAGAATACTTCCAATAAGCGGATATAAGGTGTTTTTACGCACGGCACACGCTCTTATTGATAAGAGCTGATGAATGAATGTTTTCCACATAGATTAACAACTTAGTTTTTTTCTCTAATTTCCCTCCATCAATAGTCTTAATCTATAATTCTCATAAAATATATGTTTTTTTTTTCAATTTTTTTTAAAAACTTTTTAGGACAGTTTGGTTTGATTTCAACGCGCATTTGGTGCATTTGGGAATCCAGCTCCACGTTTTGGCATTTTTTTTTCTCTTTTTTTTTTTCATTTACCAAAAAAAATAAATAAATAAATAAATGAAAAACCTCTACACTAAATTAATGAATAAAATAAACATTTTAAATATGAGGAAAGTATACATACCTGGCTGCTTCAAAGGGGAAATGAAATTCTTGAGCGAAGAAAATGAACATTCAGAAAAAAAAACGCTTTCATGCGAATATTCAAATGCATAATCAGTAGAAATCTTTATTATTATTGTTTTTTTGTTCCATATACTTCTCACATCTCAATGCTCCGTACAAGGTTTAAAAAGTAGGTACAAAAAATCTGAACAGGACAAACAAAAGAGACTGCGTGTTGACATGAGACAAATAATGCAGCTGGAACTTCCTCGGGGGGCATAAATACTGTTAAAATACACAAATAAAAACTGTATGATTCACTGGCCCTATAGAAAGGAGCTTTCATTTTTCTTTAAAAGAGTCCAACTGATTTTTTTTTTTTTCTCTAAGCAAAGTGAGGAGCGCCTGGGAGAGAAAATGCTGCCTGTCCGGCGGGTCAGGGGGGTGCTGGGGTCAGTCCTTGCGGCTGAAATGTGTCCCCTGGATGAACCTGCCTCTGCTGCTTTTGTCGACCTTCGGTTGAAATACCTTTTCAACTGTCTCAAGACTTCAGAGAGGAGAGCTCCTCAAACTGGGACAGCTTCTGGGCTTTTTTTTGTGTCCTCGGACAATGACGGTATAAAACAAAAAATATATATCTGTCTTGAAACGTGACCTGAAAGGGCCCCCCCTCAGTCCCTCAAAAAGCAACAAACAAAAAAGAAATTCCAGAAAAAAACTAAACTAAACTTTGTAAAACTGATAATGCACAACGGTTTGAACATATAATTTTTTTTTTTGGAATAATTAAAGTTAAACGAATGCTTTTTTTTGTTTGTTTGTTTTAATTAAAAAAATGTGTGCTGTGCGCAAAAATGTACACGTTTTTGAACAAATAAATATCAAGGAAAAAAAAAATCAACAATCATACTCGTAAATATTCAGGTTTTGTGTCCGATGAGGAACATCCGACATCAATTTGGTGCCATGCGGGAACAAATGATGGTTGAGGGTCTCAAATAGCGCGAGAGAAGCTCAGAAAATGTTTACAAAGATGTCAGAGAGCGGAGATTTATAAGGGCCCCGCAGGAATGTCTGTGGAGATAATATTCAGGCTATAGAAAAAAAAAATCAAAGCTTTCTTTTGTACAAAATAAGTTAAAATATACAAATAACACAAAAAGAAGTGTTGCTAAAAAATTTGCCACTCGCAAATACAAAGCTGGGGAGTGTTTATGCAAAAAAAGCGTCCTTCAAGTACCTTTATTGTGCGTTTAATAAAAGAAAATTCAGAATAACGTTTGTGAAATTTCAACGAATGGACTCTTTGTTTGGGGAAATATGTAAAAAAATAAACTGCTTAATTCCGATAAAGTGTCCGATAGTTTTCTTTCAAAATTGTGGTCCAAATTAATAAATAAAAATAACTCATCAAAATAATAATAAAAAAATATTATTTTGATGTATTTTGGGAGGGAATTAAAAACCTTCGTCACAAAGACTGGTTGGTTTTTGGATTCCGTTTTGAGTGGGCTCATTTTATTTATTTATTTATTTATTTTTTGTTAAATTCAGGAAAAATAAAATAAACAATAAAACATGAGTCCATGCTAAAAGTCAAATGCAACCTTGTTTTATGTACATGTTGTGTGTCCGTCGTGCTTTTATAAGGCTGTGATATCAGTCTGGTTGTCCTTCTGCACGTGCTGCAGATGGCCGGAGGCCGGTGCGGATCTGCCCTTCGTGTTGGGCAGTTTGTGATCCTTCTTCCACTTCATCCGTCTGTTCTGAAACCAGATTTTGATCTGCCTCTCGGACAGACAGAGCGTGTGCGCGATCTCGATCCGCCGCCGCCGGGTCAGGTATCTGTTAAAGTGGAACTCCTTCTCCAGCTCCAGAACCTGCTGCCGGGTGTAAGCTGTTCTGGACCGTTTTGGTTCTGACCCCGAGTAGTCCGGGTTCACTGCGAGGGAATAAAAAAAAAAATAATTAATAATAATTAAAGAATAACAAGATGAAGAATTTAAAAAAAAGTGAGTAAATGTTGCAGCAGAGAAACAATAGAAGTCAAACTGCGGTGCGCTAAAACTTCCAGAAGTGACGCAAAGAAACGATTTAACTTTACAAAAATCTGAGATTATAGGCAGACTTGCTGCAGATTTTAAAACATTAGCGGTCAATCTGCGCTGCAGGCTCTTTCCTAGCGGCCTATTTCCTGAGCTATAAAAATTCATGACATGTGTAATTGTCGAGGCCTCTCAAAGACTCCTATAAATAATCCACTGAGTGGATCCTAACTGCAAGGCTCAGCTGGTCCATGAAGACGCACAAAGAAGAGGAAATCTTACCGGTAGTTACATGAACTTTCTTCATCCAGGGGTAAATTACTGTCGACTGCTTATTGCTTTGGATCCCGTTTTGGCTCTTTGTGTTTTGCTGTCCACAAGTCCGAGGTCCGGCCACTTGGACCGGGGGCCCCTGCTGCTCAGTCTGTTGAGCGTCAAAGTGAGCCGGGTGGTGGCTGGATCTGTCGTGCACGCTGTGACCCCGTGGCTGCACCGTGGAGTCCGGCACCTTGGTGCAGCTGAACGCCTGCTCCGTGTAGTTTGACCGTGGGTAGATCCCTGGGTGCTGAAAGTCTGTGGTGTCCTGCGCCGGACTGTAGAAGTCCGAGCCCTGCTCGGGGATGTAGCTATTCTGCGAATATTCCTCGCAGGGAGGAAATTTGGGATCCACATACTTAGAGTTCACCATATACGAACTCATGGCCATTAATTTCTGAAGGTAGAAAAATACTAATTTTTCCCGAGTTGTCTTTTTTTCCTCCCTCCATAGAGCCCTCCTACTTGGTGTCAACTGAATAAAGTTAGCGAACCATGTGACCAGATCGGCCAATGGAGGTGATGCTGGTCCAAACACCAGTAAACACACAACTAAATGTATTTTACCCAAATTAAGACGCACAACAATGAGACCCTGGTGAATAAACAAACATTGAGCTCATGGAAATCAGAAGTAGAGCCAACATAAATAATATAGACGTACTTTCCTGGCTTAATATATATTTTAAAACTATTTAAACCAAACTATATATAAATATTTAGATGCACGTGTATTTTCACACGATTTTTACAACGATATATTAGTTTCAGTGGTCTGTCTTGAAGGCATGGTGTTCAACAGAGAAACCAACAAAAGCTACAAAAAGCCCCTTGGCATAAAAGCAGCAAATAATGACTGAGGACAATTGATGAACACTGTCTTTGTCAAGAAGGGGTCATCCAAAAGTTACACGAATCTCATCACTTCATCTGCTGCCCTTCTTTAGAAAAGAAAAAAAAGCAGAAGAAAACAGTCTCAGGAGCCCATTGGACAGCAGCAGCAGCAGCAGCAGCCTTTGGAAATCAATAATGCAGAGACAGGAGCTA